ATTTTATTTAAACTCATGTGTGGAACTGGTATACGACGAGCCCCAGGACCGGGCCCCCAGGTTGTCGCATCCCGGATACCACTAACTACAAACTAACTAAACCTCCAGCCCCACACCTCAAACATGCCCACGCCATGCCCTAACACGAATACTAAGTACAAAAACCATCATCGGTAAAGAAAATCCTCCTCAGCCCAGCCTACCCGCCAGCCAAGTTACCCGTACAAAATACAAAAATTCCACTACCGCCACCTAAATGTGACCCCGCGATAACACCCTCCACAGTAAAAACCCTCCCGAATGCCCCCACTCAATGATCTCAGGACATTCCTACCAACCACCAGGCACCCACCTCCAATCCCAAACAAAAGAAATACCCAAAACTCAAGCGCGTAAACCCAACAGGAAAGCTGACTTACAGGGTGAGGGTTCCCTAACCGAGGGGGTACGAACTATCGTAGAAAATCTGGGGTGCACCACACTGGCAGTGCAGTACAAAAACCTCGACGGAAGCAGCCAGAACGAGAGAGTCCCCAAGCCGCCAGCACTTGACCGAACATACTCAAGTATTCAACTTATCCTCCAACTCCCCGGCCCGCTCTGCAGGCGGCGAACCCACCGCGGGCTCTGTAGCAGCCGGTTTGTGATAGCGAACCGGTGAAGGCGATGACCCTTCCGAGTCGGGAACAAGTGGCACAGGTGAGGTCTGATCTTGCTTGACCCGGCGCTTCTTGTTTCTCTTCCTCTTCCCACCCCCGGGCGCAGGTCTAGCAACAGGAGTAGATGGGCCACCCTCATCACCACCCACCACCACAGGAGGGATGCCACTAGAGGCGCTTCCCCGACCAGCCACGGGCCCCGTCACAGAGGACTCAGGCACCTGCCCCCCCAAAGGGGGTGATACCACCGCAGCTGGTGTCACCACACCAGGATCCACCCTACCCACACCAGGAGCAAGCGCCTCCTCCAATCCTGACAAATCAGGAACAGGACCACTCACACCACCATCCACAACCGTAGCTGCAGGGGGGGCAGAGATAATCGCTGGCGCAACATTCTCTTGAGAGAGCTCCTCCGCCTGACCCTGAGAATTCTCAGGGTCTAGCCCACCCCCCCTAACCGAGACCACCATAGTAACCAAAGCGACCGAGGGGACAGGTGAAGAGGGGATAACCGTAGGAGCTTCAGCCGCCAAAATCGTGACCAAACTGCGAACAGTATCGTGTTCAGAGGCCAGAGCAGCCGACAAGGTAGATATCTCCTTTTCAGCGCAATGAAATCGCCGAGAAAGGACAGAGATGTAATGCCGAAGACGAGAGACTTCGGCCTCTAGGGTGAAGTTCTTCTCAACAGCATGAGACAGAACCACCGACAAACATAAAGCAGACGTGGCAGAAGGGACTGAGGCTCGCTTAGCCATTGCGACCGTGAGGAGGCGACGTAAATGAACAAACGTAAAGATAGGTAGAAGGAAGAAAGAACTTCCAGCAATCGTAGGGGAGGGATTAACAACGATGCCCCCAAAAGGTGATTGAAGTTAAAGACTTGAAGCCTATCGTGAGATAGAAATCAAGGGCTCTGATTGGACCGACACCGAACCTTCACGTTCCGACACGGGGTGAAAGAAGGAGGAAAAGTACTTAGAACAAAGCATGAAGAACCTATCCTCCTCAGCCGCATCGGCCTCCTTATATAGTGTTCTTCCTGCCAGTTGTAACCGGTACGGGTACTCGGTTATTAGTTTTGTTTTGTGTTTTGTTTTAAATATCGCTTTGATACTTGGTTTATTTTAAGTATCGTTTGATACTTAGTTTTGTTTTATGTTTTGTTTTAAGTATCGCTTTGATACTTAATTAGTTTTACCAAAGTGTATCAATTGATACCTTTGATTGGTTTCGTTCATGCTAGACACGAACAGATTTGTGTATTTAAAGACCGCCTGTTTCTACGATAGAAAAGGCAGACTTCGACAGATAGTATTTCAATATACTTGGTTGAACAGTTACTTCTTTGTTCCTCAGTACACCCTCGAAGCCTCCTTTAGTTCTCAGCTCTCACCTCCTCTCTGGAAGAGCAGGCCACCTGCCAACTATCATATCTATTACTGATAACGTGATTAGCACCTTGCGAATACGTTACACCCATAGTCATGTGACCCAAAGTGGTCACATGTGCGAAACATAATCATAACAAACTAATCATGTGACTAAAGTGGTCACACATACAAAACCCATGACCTTATAACAAGGTCATGTGCAAAAACTCATAAACTAATCATAACGCAATAAACAAGTCACATGACTCGAATGAGTCATATGCGCAAAACCCATGACCTCATAATAAGGTCATGTGCAAAACATAAATCATATGTGCAAGGCATACTCGCAAGGCACACTCGCATGGCATACTTGCCAGGCACACGTCTCATGACTCATAATCGAGTTGTGTGCAAAACATAACATAATAAGTTATATTATCCAAATGAGTCATATGTGTGAAACAATAACATACCTATGACTCATAATTATGAGTCATGTAAAAACCTTTTCTGTGCCAAGCCACATTCGTGACACCTACACTACTGTCAGAGACACAATTGCAAAGAAACATCAAGAGGGTAAGGAGAATAAAGGTAGAGGAAGATATCCTAAAACTACCAAGTCACAGGATAATGCTATGGTGGAGGAAGCTCTTAAAAATTGCCATACTACCTATTCTGACATTGCTGAGCAAGTTGCTCCCAATGTTTCTAGTAGGACAGTAAGGAGAAGACTGGAAAAAAAGCATCTTAGAAAGTAGATAGTACAAGAGAGAGTTCATTTGGATGAGAATCTAGCTCAAGAGAGGTTGGAATATGCATTAGCTCATAGGCATTGAATAAAGAAGATGTGGAGAAGGAAGGCAATGTGGGAGGATAAGGTAGCTGTGGAAAGAGGAAGAGGAAAGAGGAGAAAATAGGTTTTCAGATACCCATATGAGAAATAGAATAAGGATTGTGTTGAACCTAAGGCTAGGAGAGTGGAGAGAGGGATTAGCCAGATGATGACTGGTTGTTTTTATAGTCAAACTCATGGTTTTTTTTGCCTGTTTTTCCTGATCCTTCTTCTGCTAGGGGTGGAGTTACTGGGAAGTCAATTATTGATGTTTATGATTATTATGACTTTTTAGGGATATGGGAGAATATCAGAGAAAAGACTGGAGAAGAAGAGGTATTTTTTATCATTGACAATACTAAGACTTACCTTTTAGGAGATGGCTCAGAGGGCAGGGAATTACACTGATGAAAATTCCTGCCTATTCACCAGATCTCAATCCAATTGAAAATATTTGGTCTCTGGTGAAAGGTAAGCTTCACAAGCACTACCCTGAGCTATATCTTATGAAGGGTGATGTCAATGTGGTCAAGAAGGCAATAGTAGAGGCCATCACTCATTGTTGGGAACTTCTTAACCCAAAGGATTTTGATACTTTAACTGGATCAATGGTGGATAGAATAGAGGCAATTATTAAGGCTGATGGATGGTATACCAAATATTAATTTCTACTATGTATTTACATCTTTTAATTTTTTTTGGTTTTCATGATAGTGGATTGGTGGGTGAGTGTGGTTGTCATCGCCGAAGATTTTCCTCTGTTGAATCGCGGTTAATTTTGTCCACGCACAATAGGTGTACCTAGGGCTCGGAGTGGTTTGTTAGTGTTTGCTTGTAATAGTGCTTCGAGTTTGGATACATCTGCTCTTGTTCGGATATGATTTTCCATTTTAGGGAAGCCTTCAAGAGGAATGTCCAGAATTAGATATTCGTCCTGCAAGGGTGGTTTTTTTGTGAATTTCATCCGACGTCACTTGCAGTGAACCCAAGCGGTCAGCCCGTCCAGCTTTGGGTACAGCCGGACAGACCCAGGCTATTTCAGGGACAGCCTGGCCGGACTACGGAAAGCGGGTTTTCAAAACCGAAGCCCGGGCTGGCCTCGGCATTGGCAGCTCTGACTTCGGTTGCTGTAATATTCGATCGGGAGGCTGCCTAGGCACCGCCGGGCTTTGACGGCTGTGAATAATTTCGACCGGACTGACCCAGGATTTTTCAAAACTATGGTCGGACTGACGACCCATTGTCTGGGATAGCCGCTTGGGATCACTGGGACTCACTTGAGATGGTAAATTGTGAGCAGGTGTGGGATTTTAAAAAGAAAGGAGGATTGAATGGAGACTCGGGGGAGAAATAGTAATGTGCTGTAGTCGACTGATGCACTCGGGTAGACATTGATTGGTGGAAAGATTAGTCAGGGGGGATTAAAGAACAATGAGCTAAAAGTGTCTTGTAGTTGACGTAAATCTCGCGTGATAAGGGGTTGTTAGAAATGGCGAGGTGGGAAAGGGGACGTTTGTTTGCGGAGATTACTCGGCAGTTGGTGGTCATGAATTACCCTACTCGGCACAGTGCAGTACCAAGCATTGGGTACTTGTACGGTACGGGGGCAATCACCGGAGGATGGAGCTTGTTTTGGAAGGGAGGGCCATTGGCTGTTATAGGGTAGTATAAAAAGTGTAGGAGCAATTCTTGAGCATCTCATTCCTTTCAACTATTATTTGGGAGAAAAATGAGGTTCTCCAAGGCATTCTTATTCTCCCTTCTAGGTTCGTCATCCATATCCCATGCAGCGCCAACCCCACAAGCAGAGGACGGAGGTGACTTCACAGCTTCGAATACCAAAAAGCTAGCAACCTTTGCCGATGCCTTCTCCGGGAACTTCCGTGTCTCGCGAACCACCCTGCGATGGATTTCTGCCGGGGGTTCCGAGGATGGGACATACGTGGTGCAGGACCGTTCGACGTCTAGCCTAGAGCTGCGGAACATTGTCACGAATGCCAGTAGCATATTCGTCGACGCTGCCGAGTTGAAGCTAGATTACCACGACTACTCTATCCAACCGTCTGCAAAGCACGTCCTGTTTAGCACGAACTACACAAAACAGTACCGTCACTCGTATTTTGCGGATTATTATATATGGAGTGTGGAGGCGAAGACCTTGGTTCCCCTCGAAGAGGGAGAGAGTGGAGATGTGCAGTATGCGGAGTGGAGCCCCCATGGCAATGTGATTGCCTATGTCCGGGGGAATGATTTGTTTATTTGGAAGGACGGGGTAAGCACTAGGGTTACCAATGATGGGGGGGAGAATGTGTTTAATGGGGTGCCAGATTGGGTTTATGAAGAGGGTTTGTACTTCCCCTTGATTTCTCTTCCAGGAAGGTGAAATTAACCGTTTCCCTTTTCTTTTCTCTTCTTTGACGGGGTTAGAAATCTTCGGGGACAGGTATACATTGTGGTTCTCGCCGGATGGGGAGTATCTTGCATTTTTGAAGTTTGATGAGACGGGAGTATGCATTCCACTCGTATAGTATCATCTACCAATCCGGTGTGCATTGGTCGCACTAAACTGGGCTACTGCAGGTACCAACATACACTGTGCCATACTACATGGCAGGACAAGGGATTGCGCCACCTTACCCTAAAGACCTCAATATCAGGTATCCTAAAGTAGGGGAGAGAAACCCTACTGTTGCTTTTCACCTGCTCGAAGTCAACAACCCGTCCGCTCTGAGGAAGATTGATTTTCAGACTTACATCGCGGATGATTGGATTATTTCCGAGGTCGCTTGGGTGGCAGAGAAGCATGAGCGTGTCATCTTCCGCGCGCGGAATAGGACACAGGATACTGGGAAGTTGGTTTTAGTTGATGTTGAAAGCGGGAATGCAAGGGCTGTGAGGGAGAGGAATGGTACGGATGGATGGTTGGATTGCCTTCGTGCTATCACTTGTGAGTTTCCGTTCGGGAGCGTTTAATGCCTGCGGGGAAGTTCTAATTATCTTGGTGAGATGTCCCCGGGCTTTCTACTCCCTCGTATGTGGATATCTCAGATCATTCCGGTTGGGCCCATATTTATCTCTATCCAGTGGCTGGTGGTGACCCAATTGTGTTGACCTCTGGGAACTGGGAAGTCACTGAGATCTGCTTCGTCGACACTAAGCGCCGTCTAGTCTATTTCCAATCCACCGAGCGTGATTCTACAGAACGCCACATCTTTTCTGTGGGTCTCGACGGTAATGCCAAAAAGCCCCTCGTAGACATAACCACGGATGGCTATTACAGCGCTAGCTTTTCCTCTGGGGGAGAGTACTACATCCTGAGCTACAATGGGCCAAGCTTACCATGGCAGGAGCTTCGGAACATAAGCGCTGGAACACCTATCCGAGTGATAAACGACAACGCCTCCCTTAAGAAAAAACTTTTCGAATATGATCTCCCTAAAATCTCCTGGTCGACACTCAAGCACCCAGATGGATATGAGCTTAATTTCATGGAGCGTCTGCCACCAAAGTTTCGTAAGGGAGTAAAATACTCGGTTCTGTTCAATATATATGGCGGCCCAGGCTCGCAATACACGGCGAAGACCTTCCGCCAGACGGTCGACTTTTCTGCGTACTTGGGATCAGATCCTGAGTTGGGGTACATCGTTGTCAGCGTGGACAATCGTGGGACGGGATATAAAGGGCGGAAGTTCCGTTCCCTGGTTACCGGTCAGCTGGGAAACTTGGAGGCAGAAGATCAAGTTTGGGCCGCCAGGGAGTATGCGAAGAGAGACTATGTCGATGGGGAGAAGATTGCGATTTGGGGGTGGAGCTACGGCGGTTACCTTACCGGTAAAGTTCTCGAACTAGATTCTGGAGTATTCTCTTTAGGCATTGTATGTCCCTCCCCACTTCTCCTCTCCCAGCGTAACCACTAAAGTAGAAAAGATGACAGCCCCAGTGACCGATTGGCGCTTCTACGATAGCATGTACACTGAACGCTACATGAAACTCCTAACTACCAACCGTGCGGGCTACAACACCTCCGCGATAACCAAAACTGCCGGGTTCAAGAACGTTGCCGGCGGCTTCCTCATCCAGCACGGAACCGGCGACGACAATGTGCATTTCCAGAACTCGGCTGCTCTCACCGATGCTCTGGTTTATGAGGGCGTGAGTCCTGAGAAGATGCGCGTGCAGTGGTTCACTGACTCGGATCATGCCATTGATTTCCATAGGGCTAAGAGCTTTCTATATAAGCAGTTGGCCAAGGCTCTATACGATGAGACGAGGAGGATTCCCGAGGGGAAGCACCAATGGAGTCGTAGGGGGGTTGAGGGGGGAAGAGAGAGGTTGATAGTCGGAGGGCCGTAGTATGGATTAGTATATTTTGTTGAGTGAGTCGGGGTTGGGGGAGGGGGCTAACTAGTATCTAATGCCGAATCGGCGAAATAGATGACAGAGTAGTCTAATTTGTGTGAGAGATTCCACGTATCGAAGAACGAGAAGTGATGAGCGTTTCAACGGTGAGGGTTAGCCGCTTCACCTCAATCTGTGACAGCAAAGTTAGCTGGTGGGTATAAAAAAGGGCAATCACAGAAATCACCCAATCAAGACAAAACACAATCCAGACGACCCTTATACAGAGAACACAACCAGAGTACCAATCAACTAATGAGTGAAGAGAAAAAAAAGACCCCACCCCCACTCCACTCCTCCGAGTCATTTGATATCACTCACACCGACCACCATAACTAGCTCCCCCCCATTCTCACCAACTCGCGCAAATTCTACACCATCTCGCAATAACCCCGCTCTCATCTGCTACGCGCGCGTAGGGCATAGGGCAGCCGGACACGTCCCGAGGAGTTTTGCGGGGTGTCTGCAAAACAAGGGCAAACCTGGCCAGTGCCAAGAGAAGGGGAACCACTGCGGCAGGGCCAGTGTAGGAAATTTTGAATTATGCACCGCAAAGTATGATGATTTGCCTGAGAAAAATGGAGGTACGGCATTTCGTTGCGTTTGGAGTTTGTCCCTAGGACCGGATACGGCATTGGAGAGTTCTAGGTTTGGTGATGGGCAATTAACTTGCCCGTGGACATTATACAGAACGAAACGAAAAAAATTGTGCCCCGGTTTTGGGCGTGTTGTGGGTGATATTGGTATCTGAGGTGCCTGGTAGCGGCAGGTCACTCGAGCTTGTATAGATGGCCGGTACGCATTGTATTCATCAAGACACTCTGATTTCCTGTTTACGATATCATACTGAATATTTTTTTCTGGTAAGAGGTTTAGAACCGGCTAAGCTTTTATGCATTTCACCTGTTTATAAATATATTTATACTCCCTGTTAGAAGCGGTATTCATCATATTCTTGTAAAAGTAGAAATGTGTGTTTGGCTTGCAGCCGGGCCCACTAAAAGGACTTCAAGAAGTAGTGTACTCGTATACTGGATCTGACTGGTTTTCATCCTTGTTCTCTTCCGGATCACAGCTTCTTTTGCATGGGGGACCCAGATATTGGTTTCAAAACAGGGAAAACCGGTTACACTATAGGGGTCGATAAGGGTTTTGTATTTGGCTTAAAATATTAGGGGGTCGGAATAGCATCATATCATACCTTGAAACATTAGGCTCGTAGATTACGTATGATATGTGAATCGCAAATTATGATCCTGTAAATTACCTAACCCCAGGCGGGACCGACAAAGGGGGCTTGAGGCAGGGAAGAGGGAAGGGGCGATGTGGTGCATATGATAATATTATCATAGTTTTTTTTTGGATTTCTGGTGGGCGGTGGGCGGAGGTATTCTTGACGCCGGAGTGGTTGTGGTACGATGTAGTGTCTAGTGATACTGTTGTAGGTCGCGCTTGGGTGTTCATACCCCCCCCCCGGGAAAAAAGGTGAGGGAAAAGTAGGGAGTAAAGAAAGAGAGAGATATCATAATATTATGGTTTTGTGTTGTGTTCGGGATGGGGCAAGCCAAAGGGGTCGAAAGGCAGTTTAACAACTTGCATTTCAAACTTGTGTACTCGCCACTATGTCTACCTAATTCGAAAGCCGTGGCAGCGGTATACATCAGGTGGGTTTATGATACCGGCAGTACTTTCCCACAATAGGCCACGATACGGTCACTTCCCCCACCGAACCACCCTACCGGTACACCTCCGCCAGTCCTTTCCAAGAAACCTGAGTGCGCTGTAACTTTACCTCCTAACTTATCACCCCACAATACCAGAGCAAAAGGGAGCTCAGTCGCTTCTGGGTCCATACGGTTTGAGGGACTGGGCAGCAGCAGGATTATGAATCTGGAAAGGAGAAATATGATGCCTTGCGTCTATGATGTGCACCTGGCTGGGTCCATGCAACGCCTGGCGCATGGCCCACAGGGATGGAGGGGAATAGCCTCGTTAAAGCGGCTTGTGCAGGTACTGTGTGGGTAATTTCTGCATTATTATTACTGGGGTTTTTGATTTGGGTACTCTCTCAGTAAGAACTCTGGGGTACACTCGACACTGGGGGGGGGATCTGATCATGATACCAGCTTCCCTCAATACTAGTGCTATAAATATGGTAGAACTGGCAGGGCCTATCGTACAGTAAAAACCGGGGTATGATACAAGTGATTGAGGATCTCTCTAGAACGTTGGATGGAGTTGCCTCTACTAGTAAGGTCCCCGAGGGCTGAAAGGGAGCCTTTTCGCTGTGTTCTTTCCCCCCAATTATTTCCATTTTTACGGCACAACCTGCAATAATGGGACGGTGTGACATGTAGTTCAAAATTCCCTTCTCTGGAATGGGGCAAAAAGCACAGCAAAAACACAGCCCACCCCCACCCCCCTCCAAGGTAGAAAGTAAGAGAGGGAGCTGAATGACATAGCGCACCGTCCAACCATTCAAGTTCTTACGGCATATTTTTTTGGATTACCTTGCAGTACGAATATTGGAGGGGAGAAGGGAAAAGAAAGGAAAAGAAAAAGCCTCAGCTGAATATAGTTGGTCGGGTGCGAGGCTTTCCAAAAAATAACTTTCCATCAGATCGGGTACCGTGCGGTGGTGCCTTGGACCTCATAAAGGGTTGAGCACGATGCGCGGTTCGAAACGGTTACTATTCGAGTACGTACTCGTACAGTACACTGGTCCCTATTGACTGGCTTGTATCATAGGTTGGTTAGTATTGCTGTTATTCGACCAATCAGTAGAGGACTTTGTATTCGGACGGGTGGAGCACTTACCGGTGTGAGGTCGAGTGCGAGTTGGAGGATATTCCTGTATCTGGTAGGGTGTTTACCCTCATAGTAACCTTTCTATGTATGATTGGCGGCTTGGCATACGAATGGTTGCCATTTAAGCTGCAGCACCTTCTCCTCTTAACACAGAGAGGACGAGCTTCAGTCAACACAGGCATACTGGTGCCAAGGTTGTGGCTAGCCGCCACAACCTGGGCACTCCTCCTGAGTACCTGACAGCTCAACGTCACTTTGTGGCTCAACATCACTTTGTGGCTTAAGATTACATGTAATTTTATAGTATACTTAAATTGATCATATAGTATGATATCAAAGTAGCTTGTTTATATTCAACCATTTCATCATCAGAATCAACTCATCATCAATCATGGCCCCCTCATCATCCATTGTACTTTGCAGCCAGCGTGTTGAACCATATGCTAATATTGAGTCACAAATCCAAGCAGCACTTACAGACTTACAAAATTCTGAACAAAATTCACTAAATATTGCAGCAACTGCACAAGCCTATGAAATTCCTGTTTCATGTCTCAGTGGTTGGTGGAAAGGTTGTCGATCAAGGCAAGATTGACCAGGTACAAGCCATGTACTTTCAGAGAACCAAGAATTAGCAGTATGCCAGTACCTGGACTGACTTGATACTGTTGGAACCAGTGCACAACTCCAAATAGTTTCTGGCTGCGCAAATTTGGTTCTTCAAAAGTCTTATTCCTGCCCCACTCCAGTACTAGTTGTTAGTAAGCAATGGACCCAATGCTTTCTTAAATGCCATCCTGAGTATTTTATCCACAAGCAATATACAATTGACACTGACTGCAAAAATGTGCACCAGTCCAATGAGATAAAAGCATGGTTTGAAAAGTATCAGACAGTTTGTAACCAGTATAATATTGAGCATTCAGATATATACAACTTTGATAGAACTGACTTCTGAATTGGAATTGGCAAAGACCAGTAGATTATTATGTAAGATCCTACACAACAATCCTATCTTGGCAGCTCTACAAATTGAGAGCTCATTTCAGTTTGTGAAACAATTTCTGATGATGGTTATGTTATTCCACCTCTGATTATTATCCCACAGGTATAATTTATCAAGAGCCATGGTACATGGCCACATTCATCGATGATAATTACCTAGTTGGTATATCCAAGACAGGCTACAGTATGTAATGATCTCTCCTTAGATGGTTAGTTCTTAGTGACAGGGAACGATACTTCTCTTCTCTTTCTTCTTCTTTCTTTATCTTATGATAGCGGTAGGCCTCTGCCTACGTTACCGATAGTACAAGACCTCTGTCTTCTATCAGGAATACCTATTGTAAGCTTTCTCTAACTCTTCTTCACGAAGAACTTTCCTTGGCGTAACAATAATATTGCAATAAAGAAAAAGATTGTAAAGATATTTTATATTCGTTAAAGTAATAAGTAGGAAAAGTACTTAGAATTCAATCTAATTTTATTTAAACTCATACCACCAACACTGGCATACGACGAGCCCCAGGGCCGGGCCTCCAGGTTGTCGTATCCTGGATACCACGAACTACGAACTAACTAAACCTCCAACCCCATACCTCAAACATGCCCGCACTATGCCCCACCGTGAACACTAAATACAAAGTCATCAACAGTAAAGAAAAGTCCTCCTCAGTCCAGCCTACCTGCCAGCCAAGTTACTCGTACAAAATACAAAATTTCCACTACCGCTACCTGAATGTGACTCCATGAAAACCTCCTCTACAGTAGAAACCCACCCAAGCACCCCCACTCAATGATCCTGGGATACCCCGCCGACTGTCCCGGTACCCGTCCCCATTCCCAAACAAAAGAAACACCCAACTCCTGAGCACATAGACCCGAGGGAAAGCCGACTTACAGGGCGAAAGGCTTCCTAGCAGAGGGGGTATGAACCGTCGTAGAGAATCAGGGGGGACCACACCGGGAGCGCAGACCAAAAACCTCAACGGAAGCAGCCAGAATGAGATAGTCCCCGTGCTGCCGGCACTTGACCGAACAAGCCCAGATATTCAACTCTTCCTCTAACTCCTCAGCTGGCTCTGCAGGTAGTGAACCCGCTGCAGACTCTGTAGTAGCCGGTTCGCTACTGCGAAGCGGCGAAGGTG